CAAGGAGAGTAAAAGTATTTTTAAAAAATACTTTTAATAAGTTAGTATTTAAGAGATGGAGAGCACAGACTTTCTGTGTAGACAGCCCAAAAGTACAGAAATTTCTGCATAAAATTGTTCTTTTGTCTGTGTGTAAAACTCAGCTCTTAGCCTTATTTTTCCTTCAGCAATCACAAAAGAATTTGAAAAAGAAATATGTAATTTTACATATTTACAAGACAGAAGAGGCTAAAAAATTACTGCATTTTGATCTGTTTAATTTTATTATACAGCATTCAAAAAACTTAGTGATGAATATATGTTATAAATAGCTAGGTTAGTTAGATTAGACATTCAGAGAAATAGGATGGTTTACACAAGATGATCTGTTAGAGTAGAAAGATAAATATGATCACTATGGTTCAGTCCTTTTTCCACTGAAATCCAGCAATATCCCCAGTGTTAGCAGAAGGAGAAATATAGAGAGGTTCCTTGCTATGGACTGCCAGAAGGAATTATGTATATCAAGTCTGTGAAAGGCAGAAACAAGTGTCTTTAGAAAACTCAGACTCTTGAATGAGGGTTACTACTTTGTCACATCTGGATATTTGCTGATAAATTTCCTTTTTTTTTTTTTCCAATGGCAATAATTAAAACAAAAAATCCAAATGAAAGAATCCAAAGTTATTAATTTACCCTAGTGTGTAGTGGTACATCAGTTTATAATTTCTTTCAAAACCAAGAGATTCCAAACAATTAATTCTTTCAGACCCCACATCGTTTGCATTTCTAAACCAATTCCCTGACAGTAACTGCAGATAAGGTTTTTGCCCTGACATTTATGTCCTTCCCAAATGTGGTCGCCTCCACACACCAGTTCTGCATCCTACCTTGGGTCATGAACCTTTCCTTGTGCCCCCAGCTGCAACTTCTGCAGACTTTGAGGATTCTGACATGGTACCATCTCATACTCCTCTTTTCCTTCCACTAGGTATCCCTTGAGACCTCTCTGCTGTGAGAGGCAACCATGCAACAAGGGAGATGCCTATAGGTGGGGGCAAGTCCTCTTGTGATGGATATTGCATAAATGACCAGAAATCAGTGCCATTGCTCCATATTCCAGTGCTTTACCTGAGGTTGCCCCTGTGAAAGCAGAGCAGACCTGCCTATTTCATATAATGTATTCTTGTAAGGTATTTGCCTACTGGCAAGAAAGGGACCGTTTTAAAAGCTTTGTCTTCTAGTGGATGTCACCTGAATAAACAGCAACAATTAAGGTCCTTGAATGCGTCCTGTAGAGCATTCACTGGGATTGGAGAGAAAGTGGAGGGTGGTGCAACTGGGAGTGGTGAGGAGACTGGTTCTTGGTGTCACGGAACATCAGGTCTTTTGCATACAGCTTATGTGAGCAGAGTCCCTGCTCCTTCTGATTGTGCTTTCTTGTAACAGGTGCAGCAAAAAGGGAAGACAAGCACACATCCTGGAGGCCTGAAATTTTCAAGCCAGAAGCCGAGAAAAAGTGTGGAGACAAGGTAGGCTGAAGAAACGCAAAAGTATTGTGCATGATATAACTTATGGCAGAAATGCCCTGTGGTCGTGGCATATTGAGTCAAGAGAAATGAGTTTTGGCATGGGTCAACAGGTCTTCTGAAGGAGCCAATTCCTACTTGCAGGGAAACATCACAGACAAATCTCAGAGGTCAGTTTCTCTTGGAGGGGCAATCCAGACGTGGAAAAACCATTACGTTTTATTAATGTGTAGTTTTTGTCTTCCCATTGCATCTTCCAAGTATGATTCCTCTGAATCAGACGTGAAAGATAATAAGAAAGGCACCTCCCTGAACAGAGCTGCCCATTTTAATTTTGTTAAGCTGAAGGGTCTTGGATGTTCTAAGCTTCTTTTGCACTCTTCATTGTCAAGGTGTTGAAACATTTACAATACATTTCAAATGGCAAATAGCACCCACTCACCATCGGTTTTTATTTTCTGCTTGGCCTAAGCAGACAGAGGCACAGGCAGAAACTTCAGTTATTGTTTCTGTGGTTCCCTTCTCTCAAGACTTTTCCTGCTCAGAAATGCATCAGAAAGCTGTTTTTCATAAGCAAATCTAAAAGCATTCTATCACCTCTTTATAATTTTTTGCATCTTAATGGGAGTTGAGTGTAAAGAAATGTTTTGGGTTATTTATCTCAATAGAAATATGTGTCTTCAGCAGAGTTAGTGTGAATAATATTAAAAACAAACAAACAAAAACCCAAAACTCCAAAAAGGAGTTGTTTTATGATGTAACAAGATGTCCAAACTCTGAGGAAATAACTTCTTTTTTAAAAAGTCTAAGATGAATACTGATTTGAAGGTCCAGTCTCAACTTAAAATCATGCCCCAGTTTGAGTGTCTTTTAAGCTATTATTAAAAGCAGTATCTTAACATCAGCAACACTGAATTATAAATGGTTAGTCAAACAGGATTTTCCACTAATTTGTTTCTTTTACAAAGTATCATTTTGGATGTTGGTTAATTTCCCCTGTTACTTTTAAGGGTTTTCATTATACAAAGAGAAAAAAAAAAGTTTAAGAAAATTGATTGCATAAAATAGAAAGGAATATGCTATAGGCAGAAAATGAGAGAAGGGTACAATGGGCTGAAGGAATCATATTGCTCTTAAACAGATCTGTAAAAGGACCTGAGGTTTGCCTCATCATTCTGTGCACCAGCACTCCCCCAGCACATATATACATGTGACAGGGGGTGTTATGCACGTTACATAAAGTACATATATATGGTGATGTACATAGTACATATAGCTAAAACAAAACATCCACAGTAGTACACCGCTATTATCATATATCAAGAAACAGCTAGCATTTTCCTGGGAACATGAGACTGGAAAAGGAAGTCATACAAGATAAAAAATGTTGGAAGAATACCAGCTCTTCATATTGGCATTCAGATCCTGGCATTGCACATGCCTCTTCCCTGTGCAGCACTATGCATGTCAACAGTATCACTTGGGCAACCAGGGGCTGTTCCTTCTGAGAAGGGGCAGATTTGTCTCTTGGTGTGCTGTGAAATCGCTGGCCACTGAGGCATGGCACCAGAGCACAGGCTCTCATCCAGTCCCGGTGCCCACCTCCAACAGTGCACGCGTATGTGTGGCAGCTTGAACGATGTGCACCTCTCACTCAGTGTGAAAGCATCTGGCGACTGTGTCTATCCTGAAAGTCAGGGTGTGCTGACCTGGTGCTGTAAAACCTGCACAAAAAAGGCATCCCTGGGACTGCCAGGGCAATTAGTCTAACTGTAGCAGGGACATCCATGTATTATAGGCATCTTGCTAAAGCTACTTCTTGCAGAAAAGACTTCCAGGTGAAAAACAACTCCAAGCCAGTTAGCCTGAGGAAATTAGGGTTGAAGTGGCCCTTTGATTCAGGTAAGATTGCTTTCTCTTTGTTTCTAAAAAAACTTGTGGACCAAGTCACCTCAAACCACGAATACCTGCAGCTTTGTTTTGTAATAAAATCAACATTTTCAATTGTGAGACTAAGAGAAGCTTTATGAAATGTACAGCATCAAAAACCAGTCTTTCATTTCCATCAGCCAACATACTTTTTTTTTGTCAAGAACCATTATTTTGGGGACTTTCCAAATGCAGCCCGATCTCGAGTACCTTGTAAATTGCATGTATCAGTAATGAATATTTACTTGGCTGTGTTGTGAGCCAGATTATGAACATAAGTGCATATGAAGTACCTGACATTGTGATGGCAACAACTTAAATATATATAAATATATAAATATATATATGTACATACTTTTCCTGAGAGCCAGTCCCACCTTGTGACTTGATGGAAAATGGTCGTGGTAATGTTCATTTATGGTTTCTCAGACTTTTTTTAATATCAAGTGAACAATCTGCAGAACTTTAAAAAGGCGAGGTGTCTTGTCAGGACACATAATTTCCCGAATGATGGAGATATTGGAACAAATGGCATCCTCGTTCCTGCTATTTCTGAACAGCAGCATGCTGCTGTGGGAAACCCGCTCGCAAGGAGCCCGGGGGAAGAACGGAGATGAGGGCCAAAGAGGGAGGCAGCGGAGAGCCCTGTTTCGTAGGATGAAGGCCAGAGGAGGCTGGCAGGGTGCCGGGGAGGCTGGCAGGTGGGCTGGGAAAGGAGGAGCAGGCCCTGCAGGCATCGCCGCCACTCTTCCCCTCGCCCAAGCACTTGTATTTTTTTCCCAAAAAGAGCTATTTTTCGGTGTCACATGGCTTAGGTGAAACTTTCCTTGAAGTCCTTCAGTCAAGTCAGCCTTCGGCGCCAGAGCAAACGCAAGCCCAGAAGCCGCAGCATACAGAGAAAACCCCGGCGAAGGGCACGTTTCCCTCCCCAAAAGCCCTGAATTTTTGGCGGGAGGGAGGAGTGGGTGTCCAAAGCATCGGTGCGCGGGAAATGGGGCTGCAGATGTAGGCTGAGCTAAAGGATGGAGCGGGAGAGGATGGAGAGAGAGGAAGCGCGACCCGAGGCGGAGGGGCCGCTCCGGGGGGGGCCGCCGTCGCCCCGCGCTGCCTCCTGGCTGTGGGCGGGGTGTCACCGCCCTTGGGCCGCCGCCGGGGCGGGCCGGGCCGGGCCGGGGGGATGGCGGGGGAGGAGGAGGAGGAGGAGGAGGAAGGGGGGAGCGGGGGTGTCATGCCGAGAGCTCTCGTTGCAGCCCGGCAGGCCGCGGCCCGACCCGCACCCCGGGGCACAGCCCTCCTGCGCTCCCCCAGGCAAGCGGCCTCGCTCCCCGCCGGGCCCGGAGCACCCGCGCCCCGGGCAGTTGCCAGCCGCGTCCCGAACGGGCGGAGGGAAGGGGGGAAGGAGAGCGGAGCCCTCCGCCGCTCAGAGGAAGGGGAGGGAATGGGGAAAGTTTAGCGGAGGGTGTTTGAATCGGGAGTTATCCCTAAAGAGCCTTTCCCCTGATCTGATCCAGAGGGCAGCGCTGGGAGGAGGGGGCGGCGACGACGAGCAGCCCTGCAACATCTGTAAAACTTGCAGGAGGCGGCGGAGAGGAGCGCGCGAGACGGAGAAAAGCGAGAGGGACAACTTTTCCGACACGTGAGTACCTCGGCGCGATGTGTTCGTTCCCCTCCTTCGGTGGCTGCGCCGAGCCAAAACAATGCGGGGCGGTGGCGGCTCTGGAGGGGACGGGCGGCACGGGACGGGACGGAAGGGTTCCCTCTTCCCTACCAAAACTGTTTGGTACCAGGCGGTGGATTTGGGGATACTTTTTTTTTTCTTTTGCTCCCTCTCTTCTTTTTCTTCTTTTTCTCCTCCCCCCGTTCTTTTTGTTGAACCAAATCAGAAATGTCAGTCAGTGCGAGTGAGTCAGAAGGGATCAGATTACAAGATCACTGAAACTGATGTCGGACCCGCGCACACACACCCCCACACAGAGGCAGAGGCGCGGGCTGCTCCCCGCGGGAGGCGGGCAGGGATAAAACAACCACCACCAACACCCGCCGGCCCTCCTTTGCCGCCCCCGTCCCGCCTGTGTCCCGTCCCGTCCCCCTGCCCCGCGGGATGCCCGCCGGTCGCGGCGGGAGCCGGCCCCGCTAGCCGCGGCGGCGGGGGAGCGGCGCGGGGACGAGCCGGCGGCCCTGGCCCTCGCCCATGGGCAGCGCGGGGGCTCGGCGGCAGCGGCGGCAGGTACGTACCTACTTGGGCGAGAAGTTCTTTGTTCCCCGGCTCTAGTCCGGGCCACTTTCTTGGCGTCTCCCAGCGCTCCGGCCCCGCTCCCGGCCCCCTTCCCGCTTCCCTAACTTGGAGGCGGGGGTCAGGGGGGACCGAGGTGTCTAACCCCCAAAATGGCTGTCACGGAGCGCGGGAGCCGAGGGCGCGGGGTGCGGGGCGAGGCGGGGGCAGTCCCCGGTCCGGGCCGGGCTCGGCCCGGCACGTCCCGCGGCAGAGCTCCCGATGTGAGGGCGACAGCTGCTGTTTTATTTACACCCCTTTCTCCTCGTCCCTACTCTCTGAGCGACTCCCGGGGGTTTTTACGCCCATGCGGCGGGAGGCCGGCACAAACTTGGCATGGGGAAAGGCGAGAGGAGCGGGGAAGAATCCGCTGTCACATCTTGGCGGGGCGGAGGGGCGCCCGGGGGTCGTCGTTGCCTGCCTGCTTCTCGCTGCGAGGAAGGGGACAGTCGGGTCCCGGGAGGGGGGCGCGGGGGTGCCGGCGCCTCTCTGAGCAGAGCGGTGCTCGGCCCGCTCCGCGCTGCCGCTGGCACGGGGTCAGGCGGGGGAGCGGGGCGGCGGGACGGGCCCGGCCGAGGCCGGGCGGGAGGAGCGGGGCTGCTGCCCCACGGGAGCTCCTCGGAGCCGCCCCGGACCGGCACCGCCGTCTGGCCATGCACCGCCCAACTTTGGAGGGTGGGAGCAGAGCGTGTCCGCCGCGGTTCCGATTGTCCCGTGGAGTCGGTGGGGTGTTGGCACAATTTCCTCGCCTTCGGACGGGCCCGCCGGCTCGTAGCTGCTAGCGCCCGCTCCCCAACCCGTGCACCACGTGAAGAGAAAAGGTAAAAGGAAACACACGCCCCTCACTCCCCATCGCACTCCCCAGTTTTGTTTTTAACCCTCTGGTGCGTAGTTTTTATCCGGTCCTGCGGGTACGGTGTCCGTGGCCTTCTGCCAGTTTGTATGTAGATATATTTATGTAAAACATTTTCTCCCAGCTCCTTGCCAGCTGTTCCACATTTTCCAGCTGCCACTTCAGTTTGAAATGATGGACTGTACGGATCTCAAAGAGCCTTTTAGTCAGAGGTACGGATAGCTGTCTGTTTGATATACAGTGTCACGTTTTAAAGGCTACTTCACCAAAGGAGCATTAAGTAGCAACCCACGGCAAAATGTTCCTCTTCGTGGCACCCCTGTTACTTCCCGCTTCATTTCCAAGCCTCAATAAACATGATTTTTTAAGCTTCAGCGTGCAGACTTCGTTTCTTTTGTGTGCATGCTACAGAAAAACTTGGAAGCTAAATTTTCCAGAGGCCTTGAGACATGTGGCCGATTAAACCAATAAACATTTTTAGGAGGGCACGGCTGCCTCTCTGTTTCTCTGTGCTGTAGGTATATATGTTTTGAAATCGTTTAAGTCGCTGGAATAGTGAGAAATCACTGTGTTTCTCTGTGTTCCAAAATTGTTTTTATTGTGGTGTTCAACGAGATTATGGATTGAAATGTGCCAGAACTGGCGTTAAGTAGTTTGAATATTTGTGCAATTGCATTGTAATTTGGAAAGGTGCCTCACTGATTGATTCCTATAATTATTTCATTTAGGTCCTTTATTAAAAATTGATAATGATCTGACAGTTTCTTAATTATATATGTCATGATTATTTTGAAGGAAGACAAATGCAGGTTTTAAAAGTAAAATAACCTTAAAATGTAAAAATTGCACCACAATTCACGCCACTGTGTTTCAGTCGTGGAAATATATATTAAAAGTAATGGTGAATGAGTTTAGCAATGTAAACTCCAGGCAGCCTCTTGAGAGTTTGTTTATATAAGGAAGGTTTGGGTATAACTAGCTAGTATGTAAATACTTTCAGTTTTGTGTATAGCCCAATTCTAAAAGCATAAATAATAGTAACTATGAGAGAAGGCTATTTTAAGGACAGGGAATTATTTCTTCAAAAGCAGGATTATTTGATTTTTGAATGAGTAGGAAGAATGAGAAAGAAAAGGACTCTCTCAGTGTATCTGTATTCTTTTAAGCAGCAGTGGAAGCAAAACTGTGGCTTAAAGTGCCAAAATGAATGCACTCTTGCATTCTGATAATAGCATATGGTTTTCAGCAGGACATGATGTTTTCCAAAGCGTTTCTGTAGAAGTACTGCAAAACAAAGACATCACCTGCATTTTCCTGCATAAGTGGAGTAACATTTTTGGCTTGAGAAGGTGTGCAGTGGCCAAGAAAGAGTTATTACTGCTATACGTAATCATCAGTTGTGAAAGATTGTTCATTTTCAAACACAAAAACAGTTTGCAGCTAAGAAATTAAAGTATCAGTGGCTGTAAATGATTTTTTTTTTTTTTTCTGAATACTGTTGAAAAAAACAAAATACTCAAGTTTGGAGACATCATTATAACTTGTTCATCTTGCAGATTACTCAGATTTTTAACAAGATTAATGTATGCCCTGATATTGACCCATGAAAGTTTCAGTTACACTTCCTGCCTCGTTTTGGGGAAAGCTATTCAATTACCTGCAGTCCTGTAGTGTATTTGAATTCTAGTCTGCATATTAGAGGAAGGAATGGAATATTTTTATGTTGCAGAGTGTTAATGAAAAGTTAGTCATCTTTGCCTGATAAATAAGGAATTCGAGGGCTATTAAAGCAGAGTTTATTTCAAGTTGCGGAAGGAAGCATTTTAATGATCAGTGTTGCATGTGTTCAACTATATGGAGACAGCAATGTACAAAGAAAAAGCATACTTGAAGGAAAAGTGAATCAACGACTCATGAAATCCTCAGGAAAACCTTAGCAATGGAATGTTAATGCTTTTAGACTATAGTAGATTACCTTAAAAGTCAGGCTTTTCTTCTTTATGCAATTGTTGTAAATCCCTAGCTAAAGAATACTTGGAAGAAAGCTTTAGTTTTTCTGGCACTCATATTCTGTAGTAATTCTAGTTGTTTTGGAAGATTCAAAATATTTTCTGCCAACCTGCAGTTAGGCAATTAAAATGCTAAAAGGGCTACAGAGGAACCTTTTTATTCAACAAAAGATTCAGCTGTAATAATGATTTCAAGTTGTCTTTTAACCACAGGTTTTATAGACATCCTCCCTTTAGACTGTCATTTTTATAAGGGAATTGATTTGTTATACTTTAAAATCAAATAAAATGAGACAGAATAAACAAAAATAGGGCATGGGTGCTGCTGCAAACTTTTCAAGTTCTTTCAGTGCATTTTTCATCTTTACTTTTATTTGATAGGTCTGTGAAATAGAGCTGTAGACTGGCAGACTTTAAATGAAATTTCACACTTTGATGATTTTTTTTTAAACTTTGATATATTGACAGCAAAAGGAGCTGCAAAGCTTTTATATAACTTGAGCAGTAACGCCAAGCAGCAGTCAAACGTCTCTATGCATTTGTGTTTAACTGCAGAAGAAAAACATGTCCATGGGCAGTAGAGGGTTCTTATCAACTCCCTAATCCCAGATCCCAGCAAACCTTGAGGGCATGCCTCAGATCTTGCTGAAATCATTGTAGACTCTCACAGTTTGCAGATTAAATATGCTATGTGTTCCTGGCTCCAACAACAGTTTTATGAGCTCACTAAGCTTCCTGTTTTAAGATCCTTTTCTGAAGTTTTTAGGAGCTGCTAAGGGCGATGCTGTCTATGGCAAGTGGTACTTGTTAATTTAGGGACACTTTAGGTATTTCATTCTGTCTGTAAAAAGAGCCAAAATTGCTATTTTCAAATTACAAGTCGAGTTGCACTGAAAAAAAGGAGCTCCTTTAAAAAGGGATTCTGTTATTTTAATGTCAGTACACAAGGTGACAAAGTTTATAAGAGACTTGATTTGGTTTATGGGGCTCTTTAAAACGAGACTTTTTCAGTTGTAATTCTAAGCACAATGCAGCTTTTAGTACATAATTTCTGAGCCTCTTTTAACCAGTTGTGCTTGTAGCAGCTCATTAAACATACCTTTGAAGTTCTTGTTCTCCTTTACATCTCAAAGAAGGGAAAATATATTCTGCCAAGAATGAATTTCAGTGAATCAGGTGGTTAACTCTGGGATTTGTTGACCCTTCTGAACGTATGGCTTACCCCTCACATTCAGAGTCTGGTCTTTTCTACGTGCTAAATAGTTAACTCTTATATGTTATTCACTGTAATCATGTTTATGTATTCCGTGTAATAGTTTTAATTAAAAAGGAAAATACTTATTGTCCAACAACATATGTCATATTATTCCCGAGAGAACTTGAGCCAATTTTATGCTTAAAGGTTATTCAGTGAATGAAATTTTGAAAGCCCATTTGTCAAGGTACGGCACGGTTTCTGTTAGTTTTCAACCCCCAAATTCATTGTCCGCATGGCCCAGTCATTAGTCAGCAGTGTATTAGTGCTGCCTTCAGGCAATGCTGCCCAGTACTTCTTCGCACCATTATAGCTCTAAAAGTGTACTCTGCCGACTGGTAGAATTACTGCTCTGATTTCCGCTTGGCTGGGTTTGAGGTAAGTCCCCTCCCTACCTTCCAGCTCACTCTAATCCCTGCTTTCTTTTAAGGCTGCTTTCTTCAGAGATTTAGGGGAAAACTTTCTTAAAGATTGTGCTGGCATCATACTGTGGTTTTGTTGTGGTATACTCTGTACATGTAAATTGTACCTGCCTTACCTTGAAAGTGTATTAAATTGGCTGCTGATCTGAAGAGTTGGTTTCTCTCTCTTCAGGAAGAAAATAAAAAAACGAGACAATACACTGATATTAAAAACCCCTGCAAGGTTATTTAGATTACATCAAGGGACAAAGAAATTGGGATAGAATGTGTTTGTCTCTAAATAGTTGCTGGGTATCAGAACCGATAATATCAGAATTCACTACAAGGAGATGTGATTGAATAATTTTATTAGCTGAAGTTGCCACTCAAATGTCAAGTTATTTTTTACACTGATCATCAAGATGATTAGGCTTTTT